CCGAACAACTGGACTGAACGTTTCGGTATTATCTATACCCTCAACATGCGAGCATCCTTTTATAACTAATCTTGATTTATAACGCTTGGTACCATCCGGATTAATTTTAATTTTAAAAATCCAGCGACTATTTAGAATTTTTTGGTTTTCCGGTTTATCTACTAAAACCCAAGTATTATTTTTATTTAACGACTTTATCTCATCATGCATGGCCTCTTCCCATTTTTCTCTATCTTCTGATTTAAGCACATCATTATAATTCAAGGGTAAAGCTTCTGCATAAAAAGGTATAGGACAACCAAAAAAATCTGTTCCTCTGAGACTTTTTCTGTCTCTCAACTGTCTCGTATTTGTTTCGTTCGAAGACTGTGTATTTTGTTCCGCGTCGACACTTTCGTCTTCCGTTGCGCTTTCAAAAGAATCATCATCGCTATTAATTAACAATTCAGTATTTTCCTTTTTAACAATTTCCTTTTTAATCAATGAATCATCTTTTTCTTCCGTAGTATTGTTTTTCGATTCGACATTTGTTTCAATCGGAGCTAATTTTTCCGCTTTAAATATCACGTCTCTACTCAAAACAATATCTTGTTTACTCGGAACATAAATAATGAAATTGAAATAATGAAATTGAAAATTGTAAAGGGTACCCCTTTACAATTTTCAACGTACCCCACCATGATACCTTTTATCGCCTTTTTATCGAATTTTTTTCTTTGTTCCCCCGGAATGAAAATAAAACACTCAGTCCCAAAAACTTTTAAATGATTAACATTTGCGGTTTTGTTACTCCACAACTCATACGGAGTTTTGTTTACAACTTTTGTGGGACCTGTAATATTAATTACATACGCAGCTGTGTACATGGCTTCGGCCCACAACGACAACGGTAAATTGGATTTCGAATATATCATTGATCGCGCAGCTTCGACAACAATTCTATTTTCGCGTTCGGCTACACCGTTTTGTTGAGGACTGTACGCAATATTAATTGTTTGCTTTATTCCATTAGCTTTTAAAAATGATTTGACCTCTTTATTTACGTATTCTTTCCCCCCATCGGTATGCAGTTCCTTAATATTTTGACCAAACTGATTTTTTACCTCAATACAAAAATCTTTTATTATTTTTGCAACTTTAGATTTTTCCCTTACAAAATAAACTTTACGATATCCCGAAAACTCATCTTTGAAAACAACTGCATATTTCTTACGACCCAATGACTCCACTTGCATGGGTCCGCATACATCGGAGTGTATAATTTCTCGCGGTTCTTTAGCTCGATCGACTTAAAAACAAAGACAATTAAACAATTAAAACAAGACTTGTGATGTTTGCCGTAAGCACAACCGTCACAAAAATCGGTATTTAAATTAACATCAATTCCTAATTTTTATAGAAAATGTTTAACGTGACGCTTGTTTTGATGTCAGAGCCGCTCGTGCCACAATTGTAGATTATTTAATTTGTCCATTATCAAACACATTTTTGGAGGAATGACACGTAAATTTATTTGATGCTACCTACATCCGACCCTGTAGCAACGACTTTATCATTAAAGGTAAACAAACATTTTTCACTTTGATCAGTAATCGTAAAATTAACATTCTTTTTCGCGACAGTTTTAACTGAAAATAAATTCTGGTTCAAGCTCGGAACGAACAATGCATTATTAATTACACCCGGAATCCAATTTTTATCAACAAGAGTTTCAATTTCTATGTTACCTTTTCCCAGCGCTTCGATTTGATCACCGTTACCAATGTTGATGTAGACTGGTACCTTGAACTCCGTGTACTCGCAGAACCACTCCTTCCGGTGTGTCATATGGTCTGACGCCCCGAATCTATCAATTTTTGGGGTTTTTGGGGTCACAGGATTAGAAATTCAAAGCTAATTTTCAAATTGGGCACAGAGCCCAATGTAAGATTCCACGGCCCATTGTGAGGACCACAGTAAAGAAATTAGTTTTCTTAAATAAAACCCACTAATTTTCAGTATCCATTTCGTAATCGTTATGAAATTCTGGGTTAAGACTTGTAGTACAAATGCCAAAAATATTGGGCCAAATGTCTGGGATTGGGCCCAATATTTTTAGAATTTGTACCACAAGTCTAAGCACAGAATTTCATAACGATTACGAAATGGATGGAAACTAATTTTTTAACTGTAGGTCTCACATTGGGCCCCAAAAATAAGATTTTTTAAAGTTTATTTATTTGTTCGTCAAAAATTGTTGGGCCCAATCTCAGACATTGGGACCAATATATTGGGCACTTATACAACATGTCTGAACGCAGAATTTCATAGGGATTACGAATTTGATACTGAAAATTAGTGGTCTTATTTAAGAAAACCACTTTTTTCATTGTTCATTGGACCCCGCCCCAATTTTTTGGTCTCAAATATGTAGATCTTTTTGTTTGGAACAACTTTTGTCTTGAACATTTTTTACGAAAATTCGAACTTTTCGAGATATTTTCAAGTTTCCATACTATATAATGGACGTGAAAACCAAGATGCGCGCGTCCCGTCGCGCCGCACGGGACGTTTTAATTTTTTTCTCGCAAAGTTCTTGCTGTCCCATTATGAAAATTAGAGAAGTTATTCTTAACATCATAGGCAATAAGTAGAAAAAAAAATTTTTGAAATCGAAGAGGTAGTTTTTTCAAAAAACGAATTCAAAATTTTTTTTGACTTTTTTCCGGGCAAAAAAAATTTTTTTTTTCATGAACTATTTTTTTCTTAAAATAGCATCTTTTTGTGAGCAATTTGAAAAAAAATTGATCTCATTTGGATAACAAGAAAAAAAGTTTCATGGTTTTTTTAAAAAAATGACATAGATTTTTAATTAGAGATATCTCAAAAAATTTTGAAAAATCGTTTGTGGGCTTTCATTCTGTACAAATAAAGGAACATATTCACAAGGTTTCAATAAATATGCTCCAATCATCAAAAATTCTTGTGATCACATCCCATGGAATTGCTCACATTAAACACTGGGACATGCAGAAATTTAAGTTTATGAAACGTGGATTTTGGCAACACTAATTTTAATTGTGTCAGCTATACGCATGCGCATTTATACTTACACAGCGACTAAAAATGTGATTTTTTAATGCTAAAAAACATTAAAAAATTCAACGTTCAATGTTCGGCAACATTTGAAAAATAACACTTGATAAGAGAACGACTATTCAAATTTTCTTCCAAATTGTTTTTAGGTTATGACCAAATTATGACGTATGATTAGCAGTACTGTAAACGTAAAAAAAAATAATAGCAATTTTTCATAAGAAACTTTACATCGTATTATAAAAATGTAAAATATTATTAAATTATAAATGTTTTGCAACATTTGTTAACGTTATTTAATGCAAAACATATATATTTAGAAAGTATAAAGCAGAATATTATTATTATTGAAACAATTATTCATTATTTAATAATAAGTGTCCCACTGTTTAACACAAACCTTCAAAACAAGAAAAATGTATCAAGTTCTAAAAACTTGAAATTTTTCTATTTAATGTTACGTTCCGAACTAGGCGTGGTTTTTAAATAAAAATGAATTTTATTTACTTGAAGGTAATAAGGCTGATTAATCAGGTTGGTAAAGCCTGATATTTATTTTTATGTAGGATCGTGGTCACTTGTCAAAACTACGGGTTTTGCGTTACAATAACAAGTCAAATATTCCCTTTTATAACATTTATTGATTAAATAATAATTATATAGTAATGATTATACAATAATGATACGAGTTTACAATTCTTTTACTTACTTTTAGCAATGAAGTCGGATAAATCGATGATTATAGCTTAGTCGTTATAATTGGTTTGATTTGATTTGAAATAGTTCGTTTTGGTTGCACTTGTGTAACTTTAACGACTTAAATTGTTTTATAACTATTTAAAGAATTGCAATATTCTTTATTGTTATCTCTCGTCACTCGCACCTTTGATAGGAATGAATTTTATAGCAGGTGTAAGAGAAGCAACATATACTAAATTGACAAATTTAGAAAAAGAGATAATGCAAGATTTCTTTAGTATTTATAGTTATAAATACGACAGTTATTTCTATTAAATTATTGATTCTAAGTGTTAATTTGCTTCTCTTGCACCTATTGGCTATCAGGAAAGAACTATGTTCTAAGTGAAAAGTCAAATTAACTTGCACCTATTGGCTATCAGGAAAGAATACAATAATTAGGGCGAAAGTAAACTGAAGGGTCGCTCTACGATGTTAGAGATTGCACCGGAACTTTTGACAAGCTTTATGGAAAAAGCTCTTGTTTATATACTAGTCGATTATGCTAATTAGTGGGAGAAATGTCATATTATTGAGGAGGGGTGATCTATAAATAGAATTACTTTCCTTATATGGTAATGGTCTACATCGCATGTATGACATTGAATCTTCTTCTTTCTGAATTCTCTCTTTTATATGCTGACAATGGGTTTTTGAAGATCATATTACACTTGGATCTTCACAACCTTCACATTCTTCACGCGTATAAACAAACAAGCTCGAACTTGCTACACATTTTGCTTACATATATCCTATTTTTAGCTTTTCAACTTTCTGAACTTATATGGTGTAAACGAATGTCATATCTCTTTTGAGATCAATTTCGTTTCCACACTCTTTCTATCAATATATACATAAATAAATACATTAAAATAAGACATATAGTTTAAGTATTGTAAAATTATCATAGAATTATATAAAATGTCTTATTTTAATGATAATTTTAAGGAAAATTAGGGAAAATTGTTACCGGGATGTAACAGTCTCCCCCCCTTAGATTTTTCATCGTCCCGATGAAACTATTTCCAGTTGTCGCAAATACATGATTATAAGACTGGAATTTTTGAAATTGAGACTATCTTTTATAGTCCTTACGCTTATTGACCTACATTCATTGTGACATTGATATCCCTTGAGCTTATCTGTAGTAGCTAATATGAAGACAAGAATGATGAAATGACATCAAAATGAATCTACAATGTTGTGATGCGTGTTTATGTATTCAAAGTGATATGTTTATCTTCTTGAGGTAGGTATGAATTTCTTCTTTCGTGGTACAGTTAATGACCTCTTGTTTGTTGTGTGCGTGCATTAGAATTGTTTAGGTCAGCATTTTTCATCCCTTTAAGATGTAGGAGGTCCGAAGATCTTGTCAGTTTGTACGCAAATATCATGGAGCAACAACCATCATTAAACGATAGTGAGTGTCTACGTTTATAGTATTGTGTTAATTAGTTATTTAAATAATTATGTGATTAGTGTTGATTTATATTCCTTTTGTCTGTATCCTTTTAGTGTCCGCTGAGAGGAAATGTGGATCCAATTTAATAAATTATTTTTTAACGCTGCAAGGCCTTGCGGCTTCAATCCATTATTCTTTGGAGGAGCTGGAGTTCCTTGAAGAAATGACCCGGCGAGGTCGTCCCCGTAAAGGGATCGTGAAGGATCCAATCAATAATAAAATAAGGGTGAAGCAAATTCGTGGTTTGAAGCGAGAAGTGAAGGAGAGTTCTGGTCAAATGACCTCTATGTTCAACTCCTTATTGTGAGTACTTTAAATTTTGTTTATAATGTTTATATATATATTATTTTATTTATATTTGTTTCTTAATGTATATAGTGGATATATATGCATATATAAATACTATGTATGCATAGAATATTATAATTTACTAATTGTTTCCTTATACTATTATTAACTCCTTTTGTAAATGTATATATATATTTATTTATTTATTTTTTTAGTCGTCCTGGTCGTCCCGTTGGATGTTTTTGTGGGGACTGTCAAACTCCACTCCCAAAAAGGGCGAGATTTTCTTCAGAAGATGGTAATTCTTTCTCTCTCTTTAAATTATATAATTGTATACTTATGAAGGTTTATTCATTTTTTTTTTTTTTTTGTGTATTTTGCAGTTCAATTAGAGCGGTCTGATTTGGTGATGAGCGAGAAACCAAGGGTTTGGCCTAGGGCCATGGTCTGGTTGGCAGAAGGTCATGATCAGATCGGTTTACCACAGCTTGGTTCACCATGTGGAACACAGCCGGGTCCTTCTTTTTCTCCACAACCTGGCCCTTCTTGGAGATCTGACCCTTTACCCCCACAGGAGCCTAGTCCTACCCCCTTTTGGCGACCATTTGCCGATCCTTCTGTAGGGCAGAGTGCTATTGATGGGCCAGAGTCTGAATCAATAGAAGAAGATCCGCTGAAAATACCTTTGTGTGTGTGTGAAACATGTTTTTTATAGTGTGTGTGTGTGAATTCTCAAAATTATATTTAACATTCAATTAAAAAAATTTTGTTTTTTTTTTTTTTTTTTATTATGTATCCTTTTATATTTTGAATGTGTGTGTGTGAGTTTACTTTTTGTAGTGTGAATGAGTGAGTGTTTTTTTTAAATAAATATTATAATAATTTTGTAAAATTTATTTTATTTTAATTTCACCATCCTTGTCTTCCTTATATAATGTATCCCCTTTTTTTTTTTATATGTCTACGATGATTATTTTATATAATAATAGAAATATTCTTTCTCTTTTTTTTTTTTTTAAATAACCTTAATATTATTCTTTCTTTAAGTATAATTTATATGATTTATTATTAATATTATAAATTACATAATTGTTTTGTTTTTACTTTTAAATTTTCTTATATAAATTATTAATATATACACATATATATATATCCTTTTCTTTTAAACTTTATTAATCATTTTAATTATTTTAAATTTAAAAAAAATTTTTTTTTTTACATACAGTTTTAGATATATATACATATATATAGATAAAAAACAATATTGTTAGGTGTTGGGCCCATCGATTTATTGATTAAATCGATGAATCCAACGCGAAATATTCATATTTAGAACTAGGGAAGAAGAATGCGCTCGGAGGTAATTTCTGCGAGTACGCTATGGCAGCCATGCACGGTGCGACAAGATGGCGAGTCTAGCTACTCGGCCGTCGCTTGGCATGAGAAGGAAGGCGTGGGACCCAGCGCGCGGGAGGCGTGGGCCTCGCCACTCCTCCGCGCATCGAGTACCTTCCCCCATTCTCATGCTTGCCTGATACTCAAGGCTCAACTCGAAGCCTTTATTTTGCATTTATTTATAATTGTTTATTAGTTTAAAATTTTTATATTAGTATATTTCAATAAGCTATACTTAGTTTTATTATAATTAAAGCGTTTTAATTATTTTAAAATAAATTTGTTAACTAATGTTATATATATGATAACTAAAATTAGTTTATTATTATTAATTTTATTTATATTAAAGTTGAATATTTAATAACAATTCATTATTATTATCTTAATCTTTACTGTCACTTTTACTTTAAATTACCAAACTTATTATTTTATTAATTACAATATGGTAATATTTTAATTATGTAATTCAACATAATAAACAATAAAATTAATAATGCTTCTATTATTTATTTACTTGGTTATATTTTCATGCAAACAAGCGCATATAATAAACAATATAAATGTTCATACATAATTGCATTGTTTTATTGTTTATTTATTAATTAATTGCAATTGTTAATATAATAAAGCACGATATATGTATAGTTTATTAATGATTTTGTTTTTATTATTTTATTATAGGTAAAATATATATAATGATTTATTCTTCATCATTTAATAGCAGTGTAAATTTTAAATTCAAATTATTTTACCGCTATTCAATGATGAGTGTTATATAGGCGTATGTGAAATAGAAGCTGGAGGTATTGGCAGTGTTGTTAAAGGTTTGCATGCATCCAGCAGGCGGCCATCGCTGTGCAACATGCGCACTTGGAGAATAGCTTCACTCTCCGGTCGATGTATGTGATCGATGCGTAAGCTTTAAGGCTGTTTTACGTTGCCTTTGCTGCGTCGTTCTACGTCTATAAAGGATGCCTCACATTGTTCTTGTTATTTTATTGTCTTAAATTCTTCAAAATTTTTCTGATTTTGATAACTGTCTTCCCTCCTTAGATTTCACATTGTCCTCAATGTGTTGAGGCCAAAATTGTTTGATATTTATTATTCCTAGGAATGGAATCTCCATCTGTGGAATAAAAATTTTTTTTTTATTTTTAGTTATATTTTTTTTTTACAATAAAATTTTAAAATAAAGAGGAAGGAAGAAGGCGACCGCCAAATCCCCTTCCTTCTTTTTCCTTCGTCTTTCTTTTAATTATTTTTTTTTTTTGATTATTTATTTTATCTTATGTACAATAAATTATTTATTTTCAAAATATTTTGTTAATTTTATGATTATAATTATTATTTATAATTTATTTTATATAAATAATGAATAAAAATTTTTTTTTTTTTTTTTTTTTTTTTTGAATATGTATTAATATTATTATGATTATATAGTTATTTAATGATATAATTATTAAAATGTTAATCAGTAATTAATAAAATATTATGATAACATACATTTTTAATAATGATAATGTAATTAGACATAAGATTATTATATAATAAGGATAATTAAATAATATGACTATTATGGAATTATTACATATACAATAATCAAAGTGATTATTGTTTAATTGTCATATTATTAAATACTATTTAATGCTTTTTTGTAGGGGATGGCAATTCCCAAAAATCATCAATTTCGTCATAGTTGTTTTCGTCTGGTTTTTGTATATTATTTAGAAAACGTTTGTTTCGTATTACGCCGTGACATTGCTCTTTTAAATGTCCCCTTGAATAACAAAGTTCGCAGCAATTTTCCCACTTATATAATTTTAATTTTATTATTGTTGGTTCTTGTCTTGACATTACATGTGTCGAATTGGTGATCATTTTTGGTTTTTCTTCTTCACTAAAGTAGTAAATCTTATTTAAATGTTCTAGAATTTTTCGAGCTGCTGAATGCTCAGAGTCTCTAACTTTGCAACATCCGTCCCCTAATACAATGAAAGTATTATTATTTTTAGAGTCTGTCACAGTACACCTAACTTGCCAGGGTTTTTTATATGAAGGGCCTGTGCCCGGTTCTATAATATAAATGGGTTTATTAAGATTATATTCGGCAGTTAGTTCCTCAAGAATTCCCTTAGGGTAAGCAATTGATGAAATATCCCCTTTTGGGAAAATGAAAGCTCCAATTAATTCTCCTTGTAGAGGTGCAGTGAATAGGAATGATTCAGTCATCTAAAACAGGAAAATTATGTTATTAACCTATTCATAAGCAATTTTTAATTTATCTACATGTTTTTGAAACCTTTGTCCATCTTCATTTATTAATATTACATTATTTTTATCCAATATAGCCACAATTCTGTATGGACCATGATAACAAGGATCGAATTTTCTTTTCATTCCTTCTTTTATTACATAAGCTTTATCTCCTACTTTTCCTAAAAATGGTTTCATTAGTTTATCGTAATTTTCTTTTGATTTTAATTTAGCATTTATTAAATTATTTGCTGCTAAGATTCGAATTTCATTTAATCTGGTTATTAATTCTGATAAGTATGAGCCATATGTTTCTAGTTTTTCTTGTTCAGGAAATGAGCTAGGAGTACGGGCTATTTTACCGAAAACTAACTCATATGGAGTGAAATTAGTAGCTTCATGTACTGAAGTATTATATGCAAACATAGCAAAAGGAAGTAATCTATCCCAATCATCATAATCTTTAGCATATTGTTTTATATAATCTGCTAAAACAGCGTGACTTCGTTCTAAAGATCCATTTGTTTGAGGCCTATAACCTGATGTTGTGACTTGTTGTACTTCAAATAATTTTGATAATTTAGACATTAACTTTCCTATAAATGAGGTACCTTTGTCAGTTAATATTACTTTTGGTGCTCCATATACTGAAAATAATTCTTTTGCAACAGTATGAGCGATTGTGGTTGCAGAAATATTAGGTATTGCAACAGCTATGCAGTATTTAGATAAATGATCTTGCATAGTTAGGATATGACAATTTCCATCTGGGGTTGTTGGTAATTTACCTACAGTGTCAAGAGAAACTTTATCAAAAACGTCTAAAGGAGTATCAGTAATAAGCATTGGTTCTCGGGTTTTAATACGTACAAGTTTTTGAGATTGGCATGTTATACATTTTCTTACAAATTCCGTTATTTCATCTTTCATTCGAGGCCAATAAAATCTTTCTCTTATTCTTCTATATGTTTTTGTAATGCCTTTATGTCCTGCTATTTTGCTTTTGTGGTATTCACTGATAATATCGTTTCTAATTTCTTCTTTAGGTACTACAACTTGTCCATGACAAATAGTAATTTTAATATTACTGTTTTCAAAAATAGAATTGATAATTTGTATTAACTCTCCTCTAGGTAATTCATCGGTAAAGTCTCCATGCCTAGATATTCTTACTTCTTCTGTTTTTTCGTGGTAAAGAAGACCTTTTAAATTACGTATTCCTGCAATGATATCTTCTTTTATTAAAGGATCAAAATGATTTTCTTTTATTATTAAGGTGTAAATTTTGTATTTTCCTCGTGGTGTTACAAATATTTGTCCTTTAATAGGATTTTTAGATTTTATTTCTTCGGGATCTATTACTCCTATATCTATTAAAAGTCTACTTATAGGTGAAATGAATTCGCAATCTGCTGACAAGAAATGAATATAATTACTTCGATTATATGTTAGGTTTTCTCTGCTGCTCGTTATATTAGAATTTCTTTCATTTAATTTGGAATAATTTATGGGTATTTCTGGAGGAATACTTGATAATGATGTTTTAATTTTCGATTTATTAAATGTTTTCTTTGTATCTTCTTTTTCTTGTACTTCTATAATTTCCTCTTCAGAATCTGTTTCATTATTTGAATTATAATAAGGTGTAGATACTGCCGTAGGGTTGTTGAATTGCATGGGTGTGTTTATTTCCTGTAAATTTGGTTTAAAGGTTACTTTTCTTTTTTTAAACTTTCTTTTTCTTCGTTTCAGTGGCGTTTGAAAGTACATCTCCTCTATTATGTCTTCATTATTAATTGAATCTTCATATTCTGAGTCATAAATTTCTAATTCTTCTTGATTCATGTCGTCCTTTTCTGAGTCAGAATTTTGGAGTATTTCTTGTTCATTGTCCTGCCATATGGATTCACCTTTAGCATAATCCCAATAAAAATCTAATTTTTCTGAAAATTCAGCATGATCTCCTGTAATACATTCATTAGCTGCTTTGTGTATAGCTTCATCATCATCTCCATCGGAATTAGTTCGCCAATTTCTGGGTGATAAAGAGGTATCTGCTAACCAATCTTTATGCTGTGCTAAAGAATCATTAAATCGTGATATCGATTGTTCTAAATTTTCTGCAATTTTGGTTTTAGTTAATTCTAATGCTTCTTCTTCTACTTCAGAACTTTCTTCAGTTATATTTATTGGTGGCTCTATGTTAGTTATGAGCTCCATTTCTTGCTGTAGAATCAAATCATTTTTAATAGGTAATTCTGGAGGTGCACTTTTTGGTCCAGGGGGAAGTTTTAATGCAGCTGGTGGAAGTTTTAAACTAGGAAGTGTACTTCTACTAGCCTTTTGAATAGGGGGATTAATGTTTTCAATATCCACGTCCTCGGAATTCTCGCTTTCCGTTGGTTTTTCTATTATTTTTGTTCTGGTTTGTGTTGCCCTTCTTGTTGATACTCTTGAGGCAATTGTGCTTAGGTCTAAAGTTTTTGGAGGTTTTAATATCGATTTTGGCTTAAATGTTTTTAATTCCTTTTCAATTTTACTTCCTGTAGCAACAGATGTTGGAGGTGGTTTTATTTTTGGTTTTGGATTTTTTGTTTGTTTGTTCATTAATATTTTGAATTGTGTATGTTCGGTTTCAAGTGGTTTTTCTTCTTTTGTGTAGACATTTCTAGATAAGGCATCTGCGTTAGTGTTTAATTTACCTGATTTATGTTTAAATTCATATAAATAGTCTCGCAATTTTAATCTCCACCTTATTAATCTTTGACCTGGGTCTTTAATGGTGTCTATCCATCTTAGGGGTTCATGATCGCTGACCAAAGTGAATTTCTTTCCATATATATACGGTCTAAAATAATGGACAGCATATAGAACTGCTAGACATTCCTTTTCTGTTGTTGAGTAATTTATTTCAGGCGCAGTTAACACTCGAGAGAGATAGGCAATAGGTAGATCAAATCCATCCTTTTCTTGACTTAATACAGCTCCTATAGCGAAATCTGAAGCGTCTGTTGTCAATGTGAAAGGCTTATCGTAATCAGGATATTGTAAAATGGGTGCCTTACATAATGCTGCTCTTAATTCTTTAAAGCTGTTATCTTGTTCTTTGTTCCATTCGAATTTTACATCCTTTTTTAATAAATTAGAAAGAGGTTTTGCCTTTCCTGAAAAGTCTTTTATGAATCTCCTGTAGTATCCTGCTAATCCTAAAAATTGTTTCACATTTCTTGGTGTTTTTGGTATTGGAAAATTTGCTACAGCTTCAATTGTTTTTGGATTAGGTTTTACTCCTTCATTACTAATTATGTGTCCTAAATAAGCAACTTCTTTGAATAAAAACTCACATTTTTCCGGTTGTAAAGATAAATTTGCATCCTTCAATCTTTGCAATAATCTTCGAATCTTCTTACCATGTTCTTCCAAGTCTTTAGCAAAAATCACAATATCATCTAAGTAAACAAATAGTTCTACACCTTGTAAACCTAATAATACTTGGTCCATTAATCTCTGGAATGTTGCTGGTGAATTCTTTAGTCCCATGGGCATTCTGATATATTCGTAATGTCCATGCGTTGTGGAAAATGCCGTTTTCGACCTATCTTTTGGATCTAACTCAATTTGATGAAATCCGCTAGCTAAATCAAAAACTGAAAA